TATATAAACAAATAACAAAAATTAATTATTTGCAATTTTATGTCTACAGACATATGTGTACAGATATATATACATATATATGGAAATATATTAATTTTATTTAAATTATTTAAATATTTAAATATTATTGAAAAATGATATTTACTTATCTGTAAAGTTTTTTTTGAAAATATTTGTAATAAGAGATATTTATATGGGAGATATATTTATTGAGGTATTATTTAATGTGTCATTCTATCAATTTCTACAACTATGAATTACGTAACTCATAAATAGTATTGTATAAGACCTAAATTTTATCTTAACTACGGTTAGTATTCTTTTTACTCAAAATAATTATTTAAATGAAAATTTTTGTTGTATATGTACTCTTCATTTTCTTTAAAGTAAACTTTTTATAAATTTTTTTAATGTAAAATTATTTTAATATAAATAATATTAAAATTCACATTGTTTTAATTTATATAAAATAATAGTTTACAAACAATTTATCAAAAGTATTATAATTTCAAGAAATTATTTAAAAAAAAATAACGTTTTATTTCTTTTCTTAAATATTAACAATGATTGAGAAAATGATTTTACATTTTGGAATAATTACAAAAAAATTTTTCGTAATTTTATTAATATATATATATCCATAAAAAATTTAATTTTTCAAATGTGATAATTAGATCTTAACCCATAATTAGGACCGTCACCTTTTAATTTTTACACTGTATGTAATTTTTGCACTGTTTACTGAACAATTATAAGTACCATTTAAATATAATTTTCAATATTTTTTCAACAAAACTGGACTAGCGTTAATATTTTCTCACCAGTAGATGAATATACAAAACAACGGCCGTTCGTTATACGTGAGGAAAGGCAGAACTTTTTTTAATATCTTCTTGATGCACGGCATGCTGTTACCAGCTGCGCGATGGTGCGCGAGTTTTTTCCCATTACTTTAGTTTCTAAGACAGTTTTTTATACTGGCCTAATCAAGGTTCTTCAAATGTCACAAATATTAAATGTTTTCATATGTATTAAACCGTAATGTTAGTTATGCGAAACATATAATTAATTTTGCTTCTTTTCGTTTAAAATCGTTTGCCTGTCAAGGAGATATAAATATAAATGAAAATTAATGAGCACTTAAATTAATGAGCACTAGAAAAAGTCATCACATCGGTACATCACCATATAACTTTCTATCTCGTTTTTTTTTTAATTAAAAAAATGAATCTTAAATCAAGAAAACATTTTAACATATATAAAGCAAGAATATTATAATCTTAGAAATTTTAGTCTTGATTTGATTGAATTTATATTGATATAAATATCACATTTGCTTAATTCAAGATTAAAGAATTTTCTAAAATTATAACATTCTTGCTTATACATAAGAAAATCTACATTTGCAATACAAATTCAATCAAATTAAGAGTAAAATGTTTCTGAAAGAAGATTATAATATTCTTCTTACATATGAAAATATATATTCTCTGATTTAAGACTAATTTTTTTTTTCTGTTTACATTATAGCTTCTCGACTTACGATTACTGTTTGAAAAATTCGAATTTTCGAAGAAGGAGACGGTCTGCTAAGTTACGCAACGTGCATCTGCATCTGTGTACCCTCGGATAGTCGTTGTGCTAGTTCATGGGCGGGTCAATTCAGCCAATTTACTTGATTCCCCCGACGCTGCAGCATAGCCCCTATGATGTGGACTATACAGAGAGAACGATTTCTTTGGATTTGATAAATTTTATTAAGTTCAAAGAAATTTATTTTTTTAAATAGTCCAAACAAACACAATTATTGATTCAACAAATTCGATTAGTTGGTTGCTTTCGAATAATAAATAGCTAAAATATTTGTTTAATAAATTGTTTGAAACAAAATAACACTCTTTATTACATGTTTCATTAAAAAACAAAATCTCTTTTTTTTTTTAAAACAATATTTAACCTAGCCAAACAAAGTGTTAATTCAAAGATAAATTTTATTTTTTTAAATCATAGTGTCTTTTCTATTAATCAATAGTATACTCTAATAAAACAACAAAATTCTTAATTCAATAAAATAATGTTTAATATAAAATTATGTTGTTCGAATTAAATAAAAATAAGTTAAACAAATAGAATTGTCTAATCTAAAGAAACCTTTTCCTCTGTATACTCATCAGTAATCTGGCGTTTTCGATGTGGGTTTACTGTGAAATACAAACGTATTAAATTAAATATATGTCACTTAATTAAAGATGTGAGTTCGCCTGTTTGTCCTCGCATATTACTGCCACAATTTCTTCTGCGTCAATATTTCCAAAGCGTCTTCGTAACAAGAAATTTAAAGAAATGTTTGTCTCTTTAAAACTGCCCGTATTCTTCGTCGAATCAAGCGTCGAAAAGGATTAATCTCGTTTAATAAAGAGTGAATTAAGATACTCGAGTATAAAAGTTTTGTTTATTAATGTATTATTTATTGCCTGTCTTTATTTTTTTCTAACGTATTTTTTAATTATATCGTGAATTTTGTAATGAAATAAGATAAAAACTTGAAATATTTCTCGTTGTTATATATTAATCTTGTGCAATGTGAAATGTAACTTAAAGATAAAGTTTAAAGTTTGAAAAAAGTATAATACAAAAAAACCCAAAATAGATTTTACGCACAAAAATATATAAATTGATGTAATAATTTGATGAATTGTATTGATGTAAAAGTAATAAAAAAAATTTCAATTTTACTAACATCATCAATGCCGCTCTATATTATTAAAAATATAGAATTAAATGATAAAGTTAAATATAATACGGTTAAATATTTAAACGATAATAATGCTAAAGAGAAATGAGAATTTATTTGTGTGTTTGTTCGCGCAATTGGGAAATCGTGACGTTTGTTATACGAATATAGATAGTTATACAATCGGGCGCAATAATACCTCTTTAACTGAAACATGGCTATACCGCATCGCGAGCTATAATAATACCGTAAACGCGCATAAAACGGCTCGTAAACTCGCGCGCATCGATCGAAAGCAACTCTCGTTTCCTCGCCGGACAACTCGAAGGCGACGCGCTGGAATAAAATCTATGACACGCGAGTGGCGAGTGGAAAACCGGAAGCGAGTCCACGAGTCGTCTGGATACGCGACCAGGGTGAAGGAATGAAAGAGGTAGACCCACCGGCTACTCGGTATTGTCTCCTAACAGGGCACCCCCTTCCGTCGTCTCTCCCCCCCTCCCCCTCCCGTATGGTGGCCACATGTAGGTTCCGGGCACTACCAGAGGGGAGGAGGGGAGGGGAGTCATCGCGGGGATCCAGCTGATGGCCGATGGCGTCGGTCGGGCTTCCTCAGTTACTGTTGGACCGCACGCTGGCTTGGTCTACGCGTCGCGCCGGATAATAAATCCGGCCCCGATCTCGATTTTCCAGAAGAGCGGAAATTCAGGCCGCGCAGCACGCCGACCTTGACCCCCTCCCCTCCCCCCCTGGGATCGCGAGGTCGCGTGGGAACCGGCGGAAACCGAGCCCGAAGGTGAGGAGCGAGGCGGAAGGAGGAGATCGGAGGTCCGAGCACGAGCAAATATTTGATTCTCCGTTAATTAACTAACGGGACGGGTAATTACGATAACGGCGGTTTCGGTAACGGCGGATAATAGATCTCTTCTGCTACGTTGATTGACGGTAATCGAGATATTGATTTCACGCGAAGTGACTTTGCTGCTCGCGTGGAATTACAGGATGTAGGATTATGTCACACGCTAACGGAGGAGCATTTTTTTTTGCAATGAATTCTTTTAACTTGTTTATTTTTTAATTTTTTTGTTTCGTTGATCGTAAAAATTATATCGTTGCGACATCGTTTATCGTAATTAACCGTTGTGGAGCACCAAGTGAGCTAATTTAAAGTTAAGTAATAAGATGTATGGTATATAATAATGGAGAATAACGATCGCGATATTGTGATATGATGGCGTTGGTCGTTGAACTCCTGAGTTGGTTAAAGTGGCGCAGGGCTGACGTAAAATCTGGCGATGGGGATGGGCATCCTTAGTAACAGTGTAATGCCGTTCGAGTATTGATTTCAGACACGGGGTTTAGGGTAGCGTTACACGTGTCTACGATGCATTCAGCAAACATTAGTCATGCTCGTTTCGTATCTCTCGTAAAACTCTCCGGGACTTCTTCCGCTCGATTGCAAGTCAATCTGACACATTCGAGATACATGGATGCGCTGCGTTGAAATGAATGCGGAGGGAAAAAAATTTTTTATTACTAAATTTCATAAGATAGGATAATTGCAGAATTTCCTCATTGATTTCGTTCGACAAATTCGACTATTTTGTTGATTTTTTTTTTTTTTTTAATTTTAGTCAGTAACGGCATATATAATTTTTTATTTAACCTATTAGATAATCGCGTTGCATTTTACATGAGATAGATATCTACCTTGTATATATAAAGATAAAGAAAAATAATGAAAACCCAGCAAAATCTCTGCGGATTTCTCTAGAAGAATTATGCTAACAGTAGGATAATTTCGCACGTAATTTCCCATTGCCGTTAATCACAGAGAATTCTAATAATCATATATCGAATTATTCGATCGCATCTACTTCGTAGATGATACCAGATACGGAGGCGATGTGTCAGACTTTTGAGGCTGCGGTCGACGGCGACGTCGATGTGTACAAGAGGATTAAGGACCGACCGGAAAAGGAAGTAGCATCGGTGACCGCTTGGAACCGATACCAGCGACTAGTGGCCGCGATGGAGTCTCGGGGTGGCGAATTCAACCGGAAGTCCGTAATCGAGGCGATCTTCCGCGGCAGCGATCTCGTCTATGTCAGTCATTGATCATCGATTGATCGGCCAGATGCAAGGGAGAATCTCTCGTGCGTTTCTGTACCAAAGTGCCAGCCAGTATCGAGTTGTTTTAGCGCAGTGGCGTAGAATTCGCGGGGTTGCAATAAGTATCGCAATACTCTCTCTGAATATGAATTTGACGTGAGAGTATTCTGACGAAATTTTCTAGCGAGTAGGTATATTCATATATTGTTTCTTTATATAGCGCGAAACTATAATATACTATGATTATTAATTATTGTACAAGGTGTCCTATTTTAACTTTTGAAATATGGAAGATGTGGGAAAACGTTTCAGATAAAATTTATAAAGTTTTTAAAGATAAAGCGATTGTGATATTGATTCATTTACAGATGGAGACACTCGAGATTTATTTATGATCGCTATTTATTTAAATGGATCATATAGCTTTTGTTGTGCATTATTGTGATTCTTTTAGTTATTGTGAATATAAAAGTATTAAGGTACAATTATCAAAAATAATTAATGAGATTTTTTTATTTATTTTATTATATTCTGACATAAAATATAAAATATCTCGTAAATTATTATTTTTTTGATAACAGTATCTTAATACTTTTGTGCACAAAATAATGAAACAAATCGATTATAGTATAATAAAAGTAAAAAGATATAGAATGAAAACATATAGATAGAATAAAAGATAAAGCATATAATTGTTTTTTTTTAAATAGTATGTACTTGCATATTGCTGATTGTATAATCTGAAACATTTTTCTATATGTTTCATATTTTCTGAGATATTTCGACGTAAAACTTGTGGATACGAAATGTAAAACTAAATGGGACACTCAGTATACAAAATTCTTAAAAAATTAATTACGTCGCTATAAACTTATTAGAAGAGAAGAATTATCTATCATTTAATTAACTGTCACTCACATAATTCATTAAGCAGTAAATCATTTCTATAAATGAAGTTTATCGTGGCATTACGTATTCTCTTGTATATCTTTTGATCTAATGAGATTGCTACGCGTCGAGAATAGGATATAAGAGTGCAGTTTGACGCGGTTAACGTGGCTGTGTATTATAGTTTGACGTCGAGCGTACTATTTTTAGACTCATGAGGAGAGTTTAATGGTTCTGAGAGACGAATGCTTTTATAAGTTTATACATAAAGCAAGTATCGTCACGAGGGTTCTTGAAAGATTTCAGGTTGATTCTCAAAGTCAAATAAGATACGTCTATATTAATGCTAAAGTTCAAATTATATTAACAAGTCAAACATTTTTTGATAAATGCGATACATTTTGAATGAAAACAAATATTGAATTGTGTAATAATAATGTATATAAATGTTCTACAGATAAAGAAATCAGGTGCTCTCGAGAAGAAATTTTACAAAATTGCTACTTGATCATTAATATTAACAAACATTTTTGACATTGATAAAGAAATCACATGTGTCTCATAAAAATGTGGCAATTCTTCTCTCTCTTGGAACAAAAAGAATGTATTAGCTTTCATAAACGATTAATGTAAATCATAATGACACATTAGCGAATATGGGTTAACGCAAGCATGTCGCGGTTCTACGCCACTGGCTAATGCAATCGTAGATAGGGATTAACGATTAACGATGCCAAACTGTGTATTACTAGTCAACGTGTGTATAATAAATCGTAGAAGGGTAGATCATTTAATTAATTAGGTAATTACGACAGAAGCGGCTGATGGCGATTACGATGTCACTATCACGCGATAGCCGGCGGAAGGCGTGTCTGTAATCTACCGCATGCGACATTGGCTATGCTCAATCTTGCCAGCAACGAATAACACTCATTATATGTGATAAGGAAAAAAGAATACGAGGAAACGAGAAAAGCTGAAGCTATTATAATTAAATGTAAAATGATTAATTTAAAAAGATTAAAATGATCGTAATGATTGAAAGATCGGGAGATAAATAGCGTCTGAGACTCTAAAAATAAAGTATAAGCAAATCAGTTTGATAAAATAGATTTTTATATATATTTATTTCTTCACGTTGTATCGTATTTTTGATTACCGTGATAAAATATTATTTTTGGCAATTTAAATTAAGACATTAGAATAAATATTAGAGATTTAATATTACTGTGTTAACTTTCCTGTTAAAGATCAAATAAATATTTTAACGGAAACAATGATGACAACATGAAACAAATCTTTTGTTTTACTAACTTTAGTTTTGTCATGAAGTGATACACAAAAATAAACTAAAATTTCTCTTACACGTAAACCCATAGGTAAAATATATTTGCGATTAATTTATACAATCCGCTCGCCGTTTCCACGACGATCGAATGAACACGTCGTGGAGCTACCGCGTGTAATTGTATACATGTACATAATCGCTATATTAAATATTGCAGTACAAATATACAAAATATTTACAAGTAACGTATTTTCATGTAATCAATTCCCGTCCTAGATAAATCTGCTACGTATCGTATTTTACAATATTTTTACAAAAATAGCCACGATACTGCGTGAGCGTTTACGATAATTACACACATGTTCATCCGTGTGCTTATTGACCGTAGTTTGCAATTCATATAACAAGCCCGGAGATGCGACACGTTTAAAAAATGTTGTAAAAAATTTTTACAACAGACTTTATATTATTAGAAACAAAAGAACGATTTCTCACGTCTTTAAAATATACACAATAGTCGCTTGCTATAAATATTTACGTCAATAGTTTCCTTATTAACGATTAAAAAAATTGTTATAAATTTGTAAATACTTTAGTCTAAGTTCCACTGAAAACATGATCTAAAAATAAGAAAGTTCTCTCAACGAGAGAATTTTCATATTGCTTTAAAAAAAGAAAATAACAATTTTTTTATCAAAGCGAATTATCTATATTTGTTGTCGTATCGCTGTTATATCACAAGGACAAACGATACACACTCTTCCGTGTTTGTTAACACTCCGTATCACGTCGTGGTACAAGCTTCATATGAACTCAGTGACGAAGATCTTCTTGAAGTCTGGTGCCGAGCCGCCGATGTCGTGCTTGCATATGTCGCCGTTGTCGAGGTAACTCACGTCGGAGTTCTTCAGGATGCTCTTCAGACTCTCCATCGAGAGATTCGGCAGCCTTCGATTAATCGTTAATTTATCCAGGTCATTCATCGAATAACCGGGCGCGATCCTTTTACTTTTCAGATGATAGGACTGTATGCTGGGCTTGGTGTCGGGCAGTTTCGCGTTGCCGCCGCACTTCTTGTCCTCCCGGTCCTCCGTGCCGTTCTCTATGATACGCGGCGTGAAAGATCGCATGCTGACCTTTACCTCGCCAGTTCGCTTCGAGGGCAGCAACTCCACCTGTAAAACAGGACGTTCTCACGATGCGGGATTACGTAAGTGTGCGCGCGCCTTCATCGCCGTGGCGAAAAGGCCGTTGAAATGACTCCGTCAACGGGCGAGCGTTTTTCTCCTTTGGAGGATGCATTTTCCCGTATATTGTGAAAGTACCTCTGGCACGCCTTGCCATCCTCTGCGCGCGTTTAACATTAAAATTGAGAAACCAGTTATTCTATAAACGGCTATCAATTTATCGATTATTATTTCTTGTAGCGAAATGAAGATAATATGACAAAAGCGAACGAATGATAATGAGATACTTGATAATATTGCATTTAATTTAACGTTTGCGTTTATTTGTTTTAAAGGGTAAATTCTAAAGTGCTAAAAAAGATGGTTAAAAAATTCATGAAATGATATTTAATTGAATATGAAATCACCTTGGTTCCTTTACGCTGGAAATATTCGAAATCATCGTTAGCGACTGTGGTAACGGAACAGCAGCTTCTGCTTCTGCTTCTGCAGGAGCTCATTGTGTCGAAGTCGCCGTTCTCCAGATCGCAGCTCTCATCGTCGGAGCTATCATATACATCACAATGTCCCTGACTATCTCGTCTCTGGAGATTTAAATGAAGATTTTCCCTCACGAGATCATCTTTTTTCAAGTTGTAGGTCCTCGTGTCGAGCATAGGTCGATGATATCTATGTGCGAAAAAGAAAAGCATTATTATTTTCACGGTAATTTATAAAAAAAAATAAATAATAATACATATTTACACTTTAAAGAGTTACATATTATAAATTAAAATATTAAGTAATTATAAATTATAAATATTAATAATATATTTAAAAATTGCGATTTTAAAAAGTGCATCTTATTGGAATTGATGAGAGAGAGAAAAGTTGGATAATAAATGTAGGCCAACTGATGTACATCGAAACGTGCATTTTGAATAATTTATAAGAAACTTTGCGTCTCACTTTCCAGTTACACACTTGCCGTACGTCGTGACGGCGGCTTAATGGCAACAGGTAAAAGTGAAGGTGCGCTAAAGGATACGTGCGAGAGCAATCGGCGAACCGATAAGTAAGTGGTACCTGGCATGGTCAAAGCTTTGATTTCTGCGCAGAACATTTCTAGGATAATCCTGGAGATTGTTCTCCAGGCCGAGAATCAGGTTCTCCAGACCGAGAACGCTCCTGGCGTGTCGCCTGGACGGCTCCTCGCGGATCTCGTCCAGATTCTTGGCCGGGAACTTTCGACTGTTCGCAGAATCCTCCAACTGCACCAGGTTCTCCATGTTCTGCCCGAAGACGTCGGTGCTGCCGATTTTTCTGCGATTCCCAGCGAGATCGTGCAAATTCTCGTTCGGCCTCGGCCGTCTGCTGTATCCCGATTGCTGTTGCTGTTCCGCCGAATTTTTCTTTGGTGACTCGGGAAGTCTGTCTTGACGCGGTTCAAAGGTCGAACTCGTGAAGGACGACATTTCCGCTGGTAAAGATGCGTAATTGCTGTCCTCGGTCATGGACTGCGTTTTGGGATAGTGTTGCTGAATTCCCATGGTAATCGTGCCCCCGGTTTTCGCTGCAAACACAATAATTATTGAGTAAATAGGAAAGAAAAACGATCGTTCTAAAAAAGCCGACGATTGTTATTTATAGCTTGGATTATCTTGCCTCTTCGGGCACTCGACAATCGTTTAATTACCGTTAAATCGATCCGATGAATGCCAAGGTAATAAAAAGGAGATCGTCACGATTTATGAAAAAAACGTCATTTTCGAGAATATCGAAACGTTCGGCTCTTCACATTACAGCGACCTCTAATGAGTAGATTCCAGCTTTTGGCGCTCGCAATCATCATTCCCGTTTAACATTTGGCGAACAACAAAGACGAAACGTTGACTGAATGTGTTGCGAGCGTCAAATGGAACGCGCCTAATGTCTGATATATGAGGCGAGGATAGTGGTGGTAGACAGAGATGATTACGAGCGGTTTCATCTCGGACTTTCTAACATGGCTACGTTAAGGCATTCAATGGGTGCGTTAAACAAAGCCGCACGAAATGTCGCAATTAACAATATAGGTCGGGAGAAAGAAACCATCGAGTGATCGGAATATTTTCGCATCGTAGCATCCCGCTGACATCCGCTCTTGCTCACTCACCTCTGTTCTGATGATTGTGCAGTCGTCCGTAGAGGCTTCCGTTAGTCAGGGGGAACTTCAGCCCATGATTTAGATTCAATTGTAGCTTGTACTCGGTATCTTGTTCGAAGTGTCGAAATTTACCATCTATACCGCCTGAAAGAGAAATCCCCAGAGAAATTTCATTTTCGCTTCAAATGGTATGGCATAAGCATGTCTCTCTTATAAATAAATGCAACAATTTTTTATGAATTATTTAAGGCAATATTCTTTTCCGAAGTAAATAAAAAGTTAAATCTGAGACTTTGATTCTAAAATATTGAGATTTGTTTGGTGATGAATTTTATTCTTCAACTATTAATTTAAATCATAAAATAGAATTCGTGTGGAAGTTAAGAATGTATTATATCTCTTTTTATATTTGTAGTAAAAAACTTATGAAAAACCTACAGATTCTAAATTAAACTTAAAAATAATACAAAAAAGTTTAGTGGAGATTTAGAACCTGGATAAAAAATTATTTAAATAAATAAGTAGAAGTGTGTTCTAATAGTAATGTGATTAAGAAATGATAAACTTTTTTATACAAGTATTTTAAGTATTCAGAATTATTTATGTAAAGTTTCATTGTAATATAGAGATTAATTCTTATTTCTAGAAATAAAAATTAATTTCTTATTAAAAATGTAAACAAAAAAATGCATGATAGTAAACAAAATTAATAAATTTAAATAAACTTTAATAAATGTTAATTTTAAATAAAATTAATAAATTTTTATTTATACAATTATTATCTGCATCGCAACTGTACAGATATCATCTTGAATTATTAACTTAAACTATTTCTATAAAAAAATTGAGATTCTTGTTATTATTTTTTAATTACATTTCCATTAGAATACACACTTTTACTTATTTATTTAAATAATTTTTAATTTCTAAACGTTCTAAACTTTCTTGTGGTTGTAGTTTTAAATGCGATTTAGAATAATCTGCAAATTTTTCATAAATCTTTCATTGTAAATAGAAATAGATGTAATACAGCATTCTTAAGCAATGTAGTAAAGAAAATCTTCTAATGACTGTGAATTATGAGAGTACACGTGAAACTGTATAAATAGCTATGTATGTTACAAAATGAAAGCACGGCCGAGCGAGTCGCTCAAATGCGCGTCGTTAACGAAAAAAATTGCCGGTTGTCGCGCGGAATATCTGGCTGCTACGCGGCCAGATATCACGATTATTACACGGTCGTGTAATAAGGCGTCTCACTTTCCCACGCATGGCGGACAGGTCAGCGTGTTTTTGCCTAACGAAAGAATGGAAATCACGTACTGTCTCTGTTCGTGTGTTACGAAACGTGAAAAAAATTTCCGCAAAAAATTTCCCAGTTTTGCCCAGGTAAAGAGAAAAGAGACGTACCGTGCGACAATTTTCTTGCATGATCCTGCTTAGTGTACACCTTGGCTACATATCGGCAGAACATCTTGTCGAAGAGGGCCAGGAAAATCGGGAGCAGCGTATCCTTCACCAACGGCAACCACGTCGCCAGATTTTGAGGTGTGCAGACATTTTTTAGAAGACTCGGCCTGATGGAGATGATCTAGGAAATCATGATAAACTTGAGAATTATCATTTATCAAAATAATGTTACTCAACTTTATATACATATATTTCTAAATATTTTTTAGACAGAGTAGAGCACAACATTACAATACAACCTAATACACAGAAAAAAAATTAGCCTTAAATCAAGAATATTCTCATATAAGCAAGAATATTATAATCTTCTTAAAAAATTTTAGTCAAAAATATTATTTTTGCTCAACTCTCAAAACTAAAAATCTTCTACACGAATCATATTTTTGTTTATTATATATAAGAATATCTATATTTGCATCAATACAAATTCAATCAAATCAAGACTAAAATTTTTCTAAAATTATAACATTCTTGCTTATGTATATAAGAATATAGTCTTGACTAATTTTAAGACTAATTTTCTTTCTATGTAATATGACAGTAGAGATATATAATTAGTGTCATTATAGCATATAATATCTTTATGATCGATTAGAGACATTCAATGATCGGAGACATTTAATGATCCTGAGACATTTAATAACACTCATCGTATAAATCGTGATCGATAATCATTAATCGAATGTGGCCATTACGTGGTTGGATGTATAAAAATCGTTCCCGCAATCTGTTGGGGGCCAAATGCAACGTAGTGCAATCTAGGTATTCTAGACCGCGGCGGATTTTTCTTCGCGCTAATAAATTTCACCAGAAATCGTGTCAAGAAGATTCTATATTCAGAAATTGGGTCCAGCTTTCGCCGCGAGGAATCCGCCGCGTGTACATCGAACGTTCGGTTCGGCTCAATTACACGCGGTTTAATTGTCGACATGTGTCTACGTGTATCGTATTACGTGAGATATCTAGCGCGTGCTGCGGAGAGAGAGAGAGAGAGAGAGAGAGAGAGAGAGAGAGAGAGAGAGAGAGAGAGAGAGAGAGAGAGAGAGAGAGAGAGAGAGAGAGTCTCGCAAGTAGGAAGACACGTCGGAGATGGGCGAGCGGACATCTCGTCGGGAGGCTGTGGAAAAGAAAAAAAAAAAAAACTTTCGTTTTTAATCGCGGATACGCGCAAGAATTCGCGGTGAAAACTCCGCGGTCGCGCTTTCAAAAATACGCGTAGACGATGCAACGCGATGTGATGTGATGCGATGCGATGCGATGCGATACGATGCGCGAGCAGGTACGCAATTTTACGTGCGCTGAGCATGCACGTGTTGTGTGTGAATCGTCCCGTTTCGTCGATTATTTGCAACGTTGTTCAAAAGTATATATACGAGAATAATTCTTGGCTGAATTTCTTCTCTAAGTATTAAATGAAAATCTTTTTATCGCAAAATTAAAAATCTTCTACCCTATATTTACACAATTATCGAATTGTTTTAATGAAAATTTTATTCCATTTTGATATCTTGCACATTTGTTTAGGTCAGAAGAAGTCGATCTTAATTACAGATTAATTTAATTGCGTTTACTGTTTATTGTTAAAAAATAATTTTACTTATTGTATAAGCGTTACATAATTGTAGAATTATATAAGCTTGTGTTTTCGAAGAGACACATGTGACTTTGCGCTAAGCGCAAGGAATATATATATATATATATATATATATATATATATATATATATATATATCTCTCA